TTACGGTGGCCAATTTACCATTTCAACTTTGTTGATATAACCAAATTGTTCGAGAATGGCATTCTCTGAATGTGGTCTCGGCTTATAGCCGAGTATTTTAAATTTACATGTTTTAAGAACCTTCCTGATTAAAACAAACCAAAGTTTGGGGTCTTGGCTTATGGCCGATGTTGCCTTTTAGATGAATAAATACGGTTGCATTCTTGGCTAGGCCACTTTATTCTTATTCACATTGCCTGTCTCTATCTTCACGTTCCCCCCTCCCAATCAATCCACGCACACACACACCCTCAAAAATAAATGGGCACAGAACTAGACTGCTAAAGAGAACTGATATAGTTTCTTTACACAGGATTACCTGCAACTGACTTCAGTAGCTTCATATCAAAAAGTGGCTGCATTTATGCACTTATTGATGTCATCTTTGGTAGCTGTGCCAGTTAGGCTTGTTTTAAGATTTGCAGTCTTGAAAGGCTTCATTATGGCAGGTTTAGTTTGAATGAGAAACTGAGAACAAGTTTTACTGTAACTTTTAATCCTTTTTCTCTCCTTCATTCATGCAGGATTTAGCATCCAGTAATGGTTATTATAGAATACGGTTATGGCCCAAGTCTGCAGAAAGCAGTGATGATATAGATAGCAGTGTTACAACATTTGTCAAAGCTGTAAGTCTTAATTTTAGGAAGCAGTGCTTTGCTGCTGCTAATAATGGACTTGAATTTTTGCGTCGATCAATAAATTGAATGTAGTTGACACAAGGCAATAAGGTTTTCCCTTTATCTTTTTAGATATATAATTTAGCAATCAGGATCATGTTATCTTAAAACCATGTAGTGCTACATATGTTCATGCTTTTTCTCTGACTGATTGTTCTTCTTCTCCCTTGTAACTACAGTGTGCATTGTTTACATCAAGACTTACAGAGACTATAACTTTGTCTCTGGACAATGCAGGTGTGTAGATTATGGCCATAACAGTATTGAATTTTAATAGGACAATTACAGTGAAAAGGCTCAAAATAACCACAACAAAATGTAGAAAGGGGGTAAGTATCCAAAGAAACTGTGGTGCTGTATTGGTGGGGGATTACAACATAACTGGTTTTAGTGACTTTGTTGATAATGTGAACCAGCCACTGTAAAGCAGATGTTTTGAGCCTCAGCCCCTGGCCAGTTCTTAAAAGCAAAATTGTGCAAAACAAAATGTACTTAGTCAAAGAATATGGAGAAATAGTTGAATAAAGAGCCCACAGTGAAGGGAAACTGCAAATAAGCAGATTAGAATTATTGAACTTAGATTGAAGACATCTTTTGTTTTTGTTTCAGGACATTTGTATGGGGTGGGATTAATTGTCCCTGATGGTGGCTGTCAAGCAAAGACACTGAACTTGGTATGTCTTTGGGTTGATTGTCTAATCATTAGTTTTTTTTATGTATTTTTAAGTTTACCCTTTTGAACTAACTAACCAACTAACTAACTAAATAAATTAATAACTTTATTTAATGAGGGAAGCACTTTACAGTCATAGACTGAGAAACCTGCGGCCCTCAAATTGACGTGAGCAAGGTTAGAGGCCATGAATTAGCAACTTGGCCATTAACTGGTCACCTTCTCGTCTTAAACTACCATAAATGCACTGATGAGCCAATGCAACCCTGGATTGTTCAAAAACTTTCAGCTTCTCATATTTAAGCCTCCCTCTCTGACAGCAGGCCCCTTCTTCAATACCCCAGCCCATCCCACCCCACTCCACCCCACCCCATCTCTCTAACTAGTCCTTTTTCTTCCTCTCCTCCCATGTCAAAACTCTAGTATGCATTGGTGCTTGGGAGCTTTTTAGTATCTTTAACATATTATTACTGTTTGTGATTCAACAACAGTACATTATGGCTTTCTTATTTTGTTTGTCCCTTGTAGGATGAAATGAGCCTGCCATATAGCTTTAACACATCTGTTGTAGTCATGCTCCAAGGAACAGGACAACTGTGAGTGTTAAAACTCAACAGATGAGATAAGTGCAGTTATATACAGGCTGTACATTTTTACCACTTTGTTCTTGTCTTTATCCCTGAATACTACCAGGAACAAATGTGTTTTTATTAACACATTTTTGTTTAAAAACATTCAGTTAGGAAGTGCCTGGAAAAGCTGGAAATAATCCTTCAGCTGTGCGGGTGTAATTATGATATTTGATTTGTTCACTAGTCCTGACACAGCAAATTACATTCAGAAAATAGAGAAGGAAAAACGAGATAAAGCAGCAGGACAGACACAGGACAACAAATCTTTTCTGGCAAAATATGTAAGTTGTTTGTAAAATGCTCATTGTAACAAGATAAAAAAAAATTTATCTTTTTTATCACCAAGCTCATATTTTATTGTCCTCTTTATTCTATTTACACAGTCAAGTCACTTTTAACAATGTTAATCGTAGATGCATGAAGGACATGGGTTACCTATCAACACCGTAAACTGGCGTACCTCAGTATAGAGTCTGTTTGAGTGACAGAACATTGGAGCAGAGAATCCAATGGTTTGAGGTTCAATCCTCTTGGGAACTCCAGTTTTTCTTTGGCATATGCTTATGTAGTGACAGAAAAACATCTCTATCTACATTTAGTTCCCTTTCTTCCTTGTAATGCATGTGTCTGTTTTATTTGATGTAATCCTTTTTTTTTTTTTTTTTGCAGTGGATGTACATAGTACCTGTTGTTGTGTTGATGATGCTTACCTCACAGCAACCAGAGCAACAAGGAGAGGGAAGCAGTCAATAAACACTTGTGAATGTGTTCTAACACTTACAAGTGCACTGAGCTTCAATCTGCAACTGTTTCAGTTGCTAGGACCAGTTACGAAAAAAAAAAAAAAAAATAACAGCTATTTGTAAATTTGTATTTGCTAGGCACCAATTTGGTGTCTTCTGTCAAGTGGTCATGAAGGTGGATATAACATTCTCCCGACATGTTGTCTCTGCTTTTAAGTAATATATGGTTGATTCTCTGACCTTTCTTTCAATGTTAACCAGGTTTTTTCTTTTGTGTGGTTATTTAGCTTTAAGATGTTACACAAACCCCCAGGTAAGATTGTGAGTCATATTGCTCTTTCCAGAGACAAGCAGTATAGTCAGTAGTGCAATGTACCACATAGGATTATGAAAAACCTCCTATTTCAGTTTTTAATCACTATTTCTGGCAACATGTTTTTTTGTTCATTACCAGTAAGTGCATGTAATGAAGACATAAATGTTGAGGGTCGACACAAGCTAATGACACAGAGTAAAAATGACAACTTGTTTTTCCATTTCATTTGTGAATATTTCTTCTTTCTTTTTATCACCAGTTATCAACAAATTAAGAGTGCTACATGCTGGAAGCAAAAGCCAATTTCATGCAATAATCAATTTTTTAAATTCATCATAGTAGCACAGATTCATGCTTGCATTCACACGTATTATATTAGATATAATCCACTTCTCTTTAACCCTCTATCCCCACACTGATTACTGTACATTTCCTGTGGTAATGACAATGAGAATTTGTTTGACAATCAGGAGTGTCTTAAATTAGTGATCATTTCCATTATTCTTGTGAACTTTATATTTGATTTGAGGGTGATACGGTACAGAGAAATTAGAAGCCAGTCATGCTTAGGGACAAAAGGGTTAACTACGACTTACAACGATCATAACCTTTATTTGTTAAAAACAATAAAAATAACTGGTAATGATTTTGTGTTTTGTGACCAGTTGGTGTTACCTTAACACAGTTGTTACTAAAAAATGCCCATAATTATAACTTCTTTTGGTTTGGTGTAAATGTTTTCTGATGATAATAAAATATCCATCGACATTTATTTTGTTGTATTTTGCTTATAAGTCTCCCTTATTCCCTGAAGATGATGTGGATCAGAATCCCTGATCAAAGGTTGCTCAGACTGTAAGGTGGTCTTAGAACCATCTGTGATAAATTAATGTTATTCAGGGATATTTGTTTTACTATGGATCTCATTCTAAATACAGCCAAGGATTAACCACTAATACCATACAGCCTTAAAAGCTGTGCCTCCTACAACTTAACTAAGATGCTAACATTATTCAGGGCTCAACACTAACTTTTCAACTTACTAGCCAAGTGGCTAGTGACAACTTAGATGTTATGACAATTTCAGTTTGTTTACAAGCCAAACTAGCTAGCGGAAATAAAAAACCACTAGTTAAAACTGAATTTCTACTGGTCTGTAGCTGGTTGGCTACTGTTAGTGTTGAGTGCTGAATATTGCTTCGGGAGACATCAGTCCATCTTCATCACTAATCATAGGATAGTGCCAAAAACTCCTCCTTTCTTCTGAAATACTCATTGAAGCGGGCTATTCCATACCTGTACAAAACAAAAGAAAAGGATTAATGAACAGAATAATGGCAAAACATAGCAAATTAGTGAAAATCAAGACATTGTGCTTATTTGAGCCAAGCAGAGTTTTCATGGTTCTTGTAGGAAGTTAAAAGTGAATGCAAATTGCAGGGCTAACACAGGTCTTCTGACCCCTTACTTAGTTCCAGAGCCAACACTGATGCAAAAGCTCTCTAATTTGTTACCTTTTGTTTTACAGCCTAGGTCAACAAGTGAAAATTTTTTCTGTGTTTCAGTTGCTAAGCTTCTCAATCTTGATTTTCTGAAACGTAACTTACCCTAAGAAATCAAAGTCAATAGCTGAGAAGTGTGCCTGCACCAAAGCCCACATTGACCAATAGAAATGAGCCGCCTACAAATCAACCAAGAATGAAAGGTGAGAAAAGGCTGCCACAAGGCAGGTGGATAGATAGATAGATAGATAATCTCTATTTATCCACCATCAATTCAACAAGGTGAATTCAACAAGGATATTATTGGCTTTCACATGTATCCTGATAAGTACAATTTTATTCAATATATTAATTTCAACTATTAAAATTCCTTTTCATGTTTTTTTAACAGATATCCCGTGTAAAGTCCACTCAAAAAAAAGTTGTGTTGATGTGTTGCCTAGTTACTTGAAAAAAAGATAATTTGATTTTATTGACAGAGATGAAATAAATTTACCACTGTAAAAGGCTTTCTAAAGCTAACATTTATCTTGTAATACCCCCACTGACAAAGCATCACAGTTTTTTAAGAAATGTACCTTCTCTACTCACAAAAGAGACTTGTAAGCTTCTTAATTCAGTAAATTACACTTACCAAAGCAAAGTGATTGGCTTGTACATAGAGCTTCTCTATTTCTGCATCAGAAATTTTAGGATTCCTCTCACCTTTTTTTGAAACAAAAGGAGGAAAATTGTTGAGTTCTGATAAAAGAGACTTGGCTCGCACATCCAATAATTCTATTATTATTTCATTATCATCAGCAACACTGAAAAAAAAGGCAAGGTTAAGTGCAATTGAATGAGTCAGTGTTCTGCACTGTTTAAGCCAGTTTACCTTGTGCAAAAAATAATTATAACTAATCATAATAATAATGGAAACTTTATTTGTGTTTTTAAATGTACAATTGTAAATCTCACTACGTATAGACAATTTACAAATGCTGCTTGAGATTGGCTTATTCAACACACACACAAAAATCACAATTGCATCAAATCTGGGTTGTCCCAATTCCTATTTCTACAACAAAAGATGTAATATGTTGCTCTAATAGCTATATTTATAATTTTCTTGATTATGTAAAGTTGCTGCTTTTCGGTAATGCCTATGTCATTCATCATGCCTAAGAACGTAGAGCATTCATCTGAGAAAATGCCAAGGGAGCTCATGGAGAGATTTACAAATTTCACACATCTGAAAGTTCTACTCATTCCGTTAATCAAGTTCGGATATTTTTCTTTTTTACGTACTGCACTGTTGTACAAGTTAGATTCGAAACCAACTGTTAATTCTAGAACATATAGGCACTTGGACTGGGTTAGGAAGAGAAGATCGGGGCGATAATTTTCACCAGTTATTATTGAGGGATTTAGAAAACCAGTCACATCTGCATAGATTGAGGAGCTAACATCAATTACAGGTTGAAGGGACTTGGCAATGAAGTTAAGGATTGAGTCGTGTCTCCAGGTAAAGCGATCAAGGCATTGTTGACAACCAGCGACAACATGAAGGAGTGACTCAGGATTAAGGCAAAAGGAACAATCATGACTTTGTTATAATCCCCATCTTACCAAATTCTTACGTGTGGGAAGAGAGTTGTTGATGTAGCAGATGGTAAAGTTGTAAATGTTCTTCGGTAGATGAGACTGGGCCACTGACCAAATAGAATTAACAGATGACAATGAATACTTGATAACATTTGAGAAGAAGAAACCTTTAGATGTTAGGTGGTGTTGCATTTTATCCTCTTGATTAGAACGGAAATCCTTAAGAACTTCCTTAGTGGATTTGTACACATCATATTGAATATTAGTGTGACAGCTCGACGATTTCCAGAGAGCTTTCAGGGAATCATTTGGGGACTCTTTAATGAATTTCGGAGAACTGACTGGCAATGAGTAAATTTGATAGAGGGAGGACATATATTAAGACCAAATTTATTGCTTTCTAGGAAAACATTGCTCAGTGTTCCAGATATCGGAATATCAAGCCATTTTTGGATGTAACCATTCACTACAGAGTCGAGATGTTGCATTATCCAGGTTTTGGATATAATTGCTATGGTGAAATGCCATGACAACTTCGACAGGACATAGCAGCTGTACAGAAGAAGTTTGTGTTTAGGATGCAGTGGCTTTATATCTACGTCATTCATCAAGATTTGTACAAGAGAAGACAATTCAGATTTGTGTTGTTTAATAGACATGTTGAAGTCAAAGAAGCGACCTAAGTAACGAAATGATTCACCCATTTCCACACAGGGAATTAGAACTCCATTGATCAACAGCTTGGGTAAATATTGGACAGATTTAGTACACAGTTTCCATATTCCAAAAGTAGAACATTTGTCAACTCTGATCGTCATAATAATAATAATAACAATAATAAAAATAATAATAATAATAATCATAATCATAATGAAGCAATAATATTTAAGGGAGCAGGCATGTTGCAGTAATGAGATAGCTAGCCTGTCACCACTGTGGCCCTGGTTTGACTTCCCAACCAGGCATCACATGTGGGTTGAGTTTGTTGTTGGTTCTTCTCCTTGCTCTGATGGTTTTTCTCCAGGTCCTATGGTTTTCCTCCCTCCACAAAAACAAACATTTCAAATTCCAGTTCAACTTGGAGACAGTGGACAAGAAGAACCACCTAGTTGAATGTCCATTGCTAAATTCCCATTTTTTTTTAATACTAATAGCTCAACAGGAATAATTCAAAGAATCAGCATATGATGTGAGCTTGGCAGCCAAGGCAACTTAAATTAATTTTTTTTTCAATTTAATAATCATAATTTTAATTGAATATAAGAAAATAAACACATCTATTTACAGTGTTACTGATAAACATGAACAAGGACTAGTACACATTACTATACCTAAACTCATTTTTATATTACTATTGTTTAAAACTGACATCTAAGGAAATTTTCAATTCAGTAATTGAACTGTTGGAAAAGATTAATCAAATTACCTTAAAAGGAAGTAAAATCCTTAATTATATAGACAAGTCCCTATGAATAATTCTCACCCCTTAATCTTGCAGCTTCTTCAAGATAAACAGCAATCCATTTTAACTGATGTCCTCTTTTGGGATATAAACTGTAATCAACCTCATCAACACCTTGAAAAGAAAAAAAAAACAAGTTACAATATCAGGGTTTTGATTTAACTCTAATAAGTGATCAAGACAGAATTTCTCCCATCAACATCAATAGAATATCAGGTGAGTGATGAGAATAATAAAAAGAAAAATATCAACTAGAGAATTAGTTGATGATCCAATACCAAATTCTCCCAACTAACATCCTGAGAACAGTATGATAGACAGTAAGCATGATTACTAATGAGATACCAAGGGTGTAGCCAGGGGGATGCCCGTGATCCCCCCCCCCCTTTGGTAGGCCTTCTTTTGAGCAAACAACCTACAATATTCAGGTGGTGAAAATGCCATAACAATATCTTGGCCTGCCCACTATACTCTCACTGCTCATCCTAAAACTGTAACATTAAGTATAACATGCACGGTGTGGAGGTCAACATGACAATCGGGTGAGTAGCCTCTGTGACCCCCCCCCTCCCTTTGAAAAAATCTTGGCTATGCCCCTGGATCATGGGAGTGAAACCATTAATGGAGACCTTTGCCAGTGAGAAGAAAATTCCCTTTAATCAATGAAAATGTCTAGTATAATTTTGAGTTGTCTAAAAAACAGTAGGTAAACAACTACTTTTCATGAAGTGCTTGGCAACCAAATAGGGGAATTTTGCATCAGATTCCAAGGATAAATACTAGTTAGGGACATCCCATATAGCAGTACCATACCTGCATATTCACAGAAGTGATTTCCTATGTCATGAGGCAAGAAGTTCATGCTGGCATACTCATAATCAATGCTAAGAATAATATCTACAAGGGGTAAAATTATATCAAACAACAATAAATGTAAATGGTAACATATAAAATCAAAGTCAATAATGGATTTTAGCTGGTAATCACTTTTTAAGTAGAACAAGCACTTCTGAAGTTACATACTCACAACTGTTGGATATCTAATGCGATCTTTGCCACCTTTACTTGGAATTTCAGCCTGGAGCCCATTTTTTTCATTTCAATCTAAAAGAGATCTTTTGTTGTAGCCTCATCTTAACTCTTAAGGAGTTGGGAATATTCACCAAAGTTAAGTAAACTCTCAACTGCATCTTGGGATTTGCATAACTGACCAAAAATTCTCTCAGCCCTGACCTACATGTAGTTTAAGTGAAGCTACCTGTGTATAAACATGAAAAAAGTCTCCTGTTGCTTAAAAATTGTTTTCTTCCTAACCACTTCTAGCAAGCATGGTTACCAGGCAAATCTAATTTGCACTTTTCTCCCCTTTAACACAACACCTTGATGAAAATAAGTACAATCAAAACAGTATTTTGTAATTAACTATGAAAATTTAACAATGACCCACCTTTATCTTTATTGTACACTAAGTTTTTACAGAGCATGTCATTATGACAGAACACCACTGGACAATTATGTGTAAGTAAAACACTCCTGAGGGCTTCAATCTCTTCCTTCAACTTAGCCTTGCTGGGAGCTTGCTTCTCAAACCTTATGGAGGAATATATTGAAATATGAGTAATAAATGAAATAAAAGAGATATTGCATGACCACGTGTGGATACGGATTTTATCTTCTCATGTTGATAATGAATGCTTACTTGGTTTGAACATTAGATTATCCAGTAATGACTAGAGTGAAGCATTTGGACGTCAGGCATTTTTAAACCGTGATCAGCACAGAAGAGAAATATTTGGGATGTGAAATTCCCCTTTTTGGGATACTTTTGGAAGTTGTAGGCCCTCAAGATCCCATAAATGAGTTTATCATGGGGAAAAGGCATTGCCGTTTTTGGTATCACAACATTGGGAAAATGTTGTTACTGCTACCATACTTTTTCCCAAAAATCTAAATAACATGGGGACATGCGATCGTTCCCCAGACCCACCCCAAACATTTCCCCCCACTATACCCCTTACCTTTCGTTTTTCTTCGGGTCTTCAAACTTTTCAGGAAGAAGATTCAAGTATTTGATCATTCCATTGAAAAGCATTGGCTCTGCTTTATGTTTGGAGTTGTCGTGATCAATTTTGATCGCGTGTAACTGGGCCATGTGGCGAGCACAAAGTGACGATATATGAGGGTCCGCGATCGTATCCGTGTCAAGGACATCCCCTGCTAAAAATCCGTACGACAGACCGTTCTCCAAAGTTCCGTAGACAGGGGGTCCGTAGCCCTTCGAATGCAAAATCTGAAAAGTTTCCAGCTCTTTCTTCCGATCTATAAAAAGCTCGGTTTTATTTCCGAACAACCGGAAAAGGATCATTTCGCCCGGAGCAAGACCCGGCATATTGCAGCCAACAAGCATGTTACTGATTCCTTCATTAAACTGTTTGAATTTGACTTCGTTGGTGTCCCATCCTGGTCTGATCTGCTTTAGAATCGGCTTGATGCTTTCTTCGATATTTTCCGGATCTAATTTGTGCTTGAAATGAGGAATTTCCATGACGATTGACCCTAAGCGATAAGAGGTTTCTCAATGCTTCTCGCTGTGTATGATCTGCACGCTGTAGTTTTACCTTTTCGCAGGCAGAACCGCTGACCAACTCAAGAATTTCGCAAGTTCGGGGGAAGGCAGAGGGCCCAAGCGTTACGGTGAGTGATTTTGGGTCCGAAGGTCATTAAGGCGAATTGATATTTTACAAGAGATTGAGTGCCGTAAAAAAGGGAAAATATAAAAAAATATATAATAAAAGCAGGGATTATATAGAAGATATATATAAATACAGTATCACAACACGCAGTACCAAGAAAGTCGCCAAAATAGCGTTAGAACCAACCTCGTTCCCAGGGCTGGGAACGAGGTTGCGTTAGAACGGCCGTAATCGACAAGGCGGCGGCTAGGAATGAAGGAAATAGACTGACACCATATAAGTATATATTCCTCGCTTTTATTCTCTTTTTTTTATTTTTTCTATTTTTTCCTTTCAATTTTTCTTTGTTTTAAGGCACACCCCCACGCTTCGATCTAAATGTGCTACTTAGGCATTCTCTTTAATGACTTTAAACCCAAAAATCACACACAGGCTTGGCAGTATGTTTGGGCTGCCTGTGCTTTCACATAAAGTGTCGTTTTGAAATGTTGATTAACCTACACATCTCCAAATTGGTGAGAACCTTGAAGTAATAAACAAAAGCAGATTTCAAAAAGGGAATCTTTAAAAGTTTGGGAATTCCTAATTTTTTTTTTCTTACAACCTAAAAGTTCACAGTGACACTGTATACCCATAATTCTTTAGTTCCCCCTCCTCACCCCCCTCTGCTACGCCTCACTCTCACTCTCTCTCTCTCTCTCTCTCTCTCTCTTCACTCTCCTCGTCCGCCGTATAGAACAAGGGGATCTGGTCTGAGTGTTTGTATGGTTCCTTTTTTTCTTCCCTTTTACCGTTTTTTTTAAACAAGAATTGTAAATAATGACAAACAGACACAGAAGACGTTTTTGAAACCCCAGCCGGACAAACACTCTCCGCAATTCATATTGTTGTCTCCGACAACTTATTATATATTATTGATTCCAACTGTGTATTTCCGCGATTGAGACTGTTTTCCTTTACAAAAACCATTTGTTTGGTGAATCCCCGTGCGGGTTCAAGGTGTAGAATCTTGTCTCCTTGGGAAAATGAATGACAGGAGGGAAGGAAGTTTGAGGTCTCTGAAATTCAAAACATTGAGGAACAGTAATTCTCTGATTGAAATTTCAACATGTTCGCCGTTCGGGTTGAGTAAATTACATTCCTTCTGGCCTTAAACGTTCAGCAGCCTATAGACGCTCGGAAGATAAAAACGGCGCGCGACGGTGAACGATAGCGTAAAAACGAGAGAGGTTTGGGTCGAGTTGCGTAATAAAAGAGTACTCTGGATAACTTGAAAGAAGGAGAGTCAATGATAGAGTGGATGACACTGTGGTCCAGCGCCTCAGAATCCGGATCGACCGGTCACGGGGGCCAGCCTTGGCCGGGTTATTGGATTCTGCTCTTGGCCGGAGACACGTAATCTCAGACAGCATCTTTCTTAACGTTTGCAGGATTTATTCAGCACGAATGCTTTTACTCTCAGACACATATGGTAAAAGAGACAGTCACTGCAGCCTCACTCGGCCTTTCAAAGCTCGTGTACGAGTTACGATGTAAACGCATGCAATAAGAAACAGCGCGAGAGCCTAAGAAGGGCGGAAGAATATCAAAATTAATCTTCGTACGAAGTTGATATGATAAGTTGAATTGTACAAGCGCTGTGATTGGTTCTTACGTATGATAGACCCATAGATGGCATAACCATTCAGAACTCATAATTCATTATGTTTAACAATTAAATAGATGACACGTTGCCGTGCGGTACTAAGAAGTAAAATGTTGCTCATGGTGACGACGTCATTGATGCGTCTGTTCTCCAATAGATCATGATTTAGAACCAATCAAAATGTGTGTATAATTTAGCTTAGTATACAAAAAACAAGTGTGTTCCATGTTTCGATCGTGCGTCTGTTCAGCATAGATGACGTCATAGATGACTACTGAAGACGTCAAAATGTGATACACTCGGCTGGGCCTCACCGGTGCCACTTGTGTAGCCCACCTGTAGCCGTACCCTCGCCCCTGGGAAAAACGTCTCTCTACGGGGGGAAGGTACAGCTACAGGTAAGTTACCACTCGTACGGCAATAAAGTCGGTTCTTACGGTCAGAGGAGACGGGTGAAAAAGTGAACGAGCAAGGGTTTACCTGTCTTCCCATCTCTTTCCCTAATCTCCCGCTCCGTTTTTAAACTCGCTCGCCTCGCTGCTCATCCCCACAAAATGATTGCCCTAGACTGGCTATCGGTGTCAGCCAGTCACATATATTTTCTAGTTTGGCATGAATCTGATAAAATCAAACAATAAACAATATTCCCTACTTGGTATTTTTATCTTTCTCCTCATCATCTGTTTGGTTGACAATGTTTTGATATTGTAGAGAGAATATATAGGTCATCCCTGGAATATCCTGTGAAAGGTAAAAGTTTATGGACAAGACTGGATAAAGAACTCAGAAATTTCAGCTTCAGCTTTTGACCCTTAACCACCAAGATCCAATGAGCAATTTTTTTCTTTTATATGCTGCCGCACATTTCCTTGTAAAACTGGGTAAAATAATGTGGTGCTATATCAAGATGAAGTTCCCTAACTAGATGCATGGAGAAATAAGATGGCGGGCAGAGACGAATGTAAAAAAAAAAAAAAAAAACAAAAAAAAAAACAAAAAAAACAAAACCTGTCAACGTCAAAACCAAGTTCACACAGATGACTGTTTAATTCTCGATCGCCTTGTCTCGGAAAATGCAAAAACTGTTATCCGCCCGGAAAGTGTTTTCTTCTCATTCATTTTGAATTTCCGTTTCCTATATGTAAACTGAACAACAAGTCTAGTGTAACAATATCGGTTTGAAAGTTCACCATAAACAATTTGTAAAACTAAGCCCGGAAAGGATATGGAACAAGTCTGCGAAGTGGATAAAAGCCATATGTAACCTTTAAGTTAAATTATTTGCCAATCGTGCGATAACACCATCGCCAACACTATGCCACAGCGAGGGGCAAGCCGTCTGCCTCGTGTACTCCTTAGATATCACGTTTTTTGGTTTAGCGGAGAAGAATAATTGAGCTGAAAAACGGACCAGTCATGAAATATTTACAAGTGCGGCCATCGAGGAGGGCTTTTTTTTAGTTCCTTTTATCGATGAATTTCTTTTGTTTTAAAACAAAACAAAGATACTTTAACATCAATCTGTCGGATGAGGAGTTGAAATCAAACAAAAAACGGACAAAAATTCTAAAACTGCCCAGCAAAGTGATGTTCATGTTTTTAATTTTAGAACTCGATCACCGAGGGGATCCAACTTTTTCGAGAAGAGGCTTAGTCTTTGGGCTTTGTTTATCCAAAATACACCCTTCGCTAGTTTTGCCACGATCACACAATAAAGGCATTCAAGATTGGAAGAGAGCAGAAAAATTCCGACTCTTTTCAAACAGGTTAGAAAGGACCAGTCCTCAACCTGCGAGTTAAACCCTGGTAAAATATATTTCTGCGCGCTTGTTCCCAGGTGGTCGTAAAACCAAGACAGGAAATGGAAAAATTTTTAATATTTGGTCTCTTACTGCTGTCAAGCAGAAAAATTTATACCTGTCGTATTTGATATACGTTTAGCTACGCGCCAAGGAGCTAAAGAAGAGTTTGTTTTTTTCATATGTAAGAAGATCGCAAGAGCACTTCCGAGAAGCCGCAATGCGATGAAATCATTGGTTCGGTTCGCGTACCTCCCGCCAAATTAATAACTTTGTGTTGACTGAACGCTCAGCAGTTGACAGCTAGCCTCCCGGGGCGATAATTTATTCTCAAGGCCTGTTGTAAACAAAACGCAATATCTCTCAGAGTGGGAGACAAGATTTTGAATATGCCCGTCGAGCACTCAGCGTTGTTGTGTTTAATTCGAAGCAATTTGCGGCTAAAAGGTCTTTAAACACGGACTGTGATAGATGGATTTATGATAAAATCTCGCCGCGACGACAAATACAAAAAAGTTGCCCGTCGCGCATTTGGTGGGCGGTGAGGCCCGGAAGCCGAAACGAGTGATATCGTATTGCCATAAAATGCACCCCCGTTGGTCAAGTGTGTTACGTGTGTCGCGACAGTTACTCGCGAGTCACGCGATCATTTCGTGGATACGAACAAGTGATATCTAACTTTTTACAGCTAAATCTTGTGGAACTTTGTGTCTTTCATCTTTCGCTGGAATTTCGTTTACTTTTTAGTAAAGCACAAGACGCAACAAACGCGCGTGATAACCTGCAATGGACACGCGCGCATATTTCATCGATTAATTTATCTTTGCTCCAGCGATACGTTTAAAATTATCTCAGTTTTCTTGTAATTTGATTGTTAAACTCGATTACACCCGGAATCTGTTGGTAATGAAAAGGTCAAAAGGCGTAAACACTATTTAATGGAGCAGTGAGGCTGTATTTTATTTCTCTGTCAAAAGGACAAAGTAATAGTAGTTACGTCTTAAGTCGGCATTTGTTCCTTTCATTCTCTCAAAAATTATGAATACTTATAGATCAAGAATTTACAGGCCAATCTGACATCCTGAAGTACACGAACTATTTCAACAAGGACTAATCTGAATAAAATTGTTGAACTAGATGCGAATCATGCTGGATTATCTGGCCAATGTTCCTCCATAGAGGGGAGATACAACGCGATGGAGTTCACGTCTTACAGCTTTGATTTTCTTCGCCATATCAATCAGTGAAACCTTACTTTTGCAAAAAGTGCTCTTGCAGTTTAACAGAAAATAAGTTCATTCGATTGGACAGAAAGGTTCTCGAAAAGTCACCCAATAGACCGATAAAATTGTACGATGTTCCCCTGTCCACACATCTCGCGAACGTCTTGTATAAATCAGTGAGAACAAGCAGAGTTTGTTTTATTTGTTACATCTTAAAGGATAGGTATTCAGAAATATCAAAATGCGATTTTATAACGTTATTTTTAGGCTAAATAGATCACACAATCAAAGGGAAACTTTCGAATTGTCTCATTTATTATACCTATCAAACTTAAAACGTAATTTTAAAAACTGTGTGTTCCTATTCTCGTCTCGCCTGAAAACTACAGAAAATTGTTGAAGAATCAGTCGACTAGACGCTTATATTTCTCAAGACTTTTATCATAGAATATGTTCAGTTGTAATTTCTGTCCCGAGAGGAACAATGAAGTAAAGGTTCTTGAAATGAAATGAAAAACATGACACTGGCTATTTTAAGATACACCTTGAAACGACCAAAAAAAGAGATTTTGAAATTAAAATCAAAGCATCCTTTTAAACGATCGATCGGGTTCAAAACAACTGAAAAATGAAATGAAGTTCTCGCAAAAAGTTGACAATATGACCTGCCCCAGTGAAGAAAGAATTCGTATCCAAGCTTATAAGCTTGAGTCGCATTTACAAATCAAAACTGCGTTGAATCCGGCAGATTCTGCAGCTTCATAATCACTAAGATTTCAAAGACTAAAGACAAAAACAAGTACTTTCAGGTTTCATATCCTAACTTGTTCAAATGGGAAACAAATACAACATGTACCAAGTGTTTTGAATTTTTCACATTGAGGAGATGTGGTTGACAACAGCAATACCCGCCGACGGACTTCCGGATCTGAAAAGAAATTCCTTTTGTATTTCCTTAACGAAACAGGAACGAGAAAATGATTAATTTGTGATATCTCAGTCGTTCCAAATGTCTCTTAGCAAAGGAGAATATTTTTAGAGTAGTTTCCTGTGTTTATATATCGGTTCGTTGCCGAAACAGGCCGGGTCGACTACCTAGCGCAATTCCATGAACCATCTTAAAATGTTCTTCAGATCTCAACCCGTGAACCTTCATGTGTTTCCTTAACGAGCTAGGATGCGTGTAACTTTTGTCGCAACCAATGTACTTACACCGATATGGTTTTTCCAAAGTGTGAACATGAATGTGTTTGCGGCGGTCACTTGAGTTCGCAAATCGTTTATCACAGCCTTTGAATTCGCATGCGAACGGCCTCTCGCCCGTGTGCGTACGAACGTGTATTTTCAAATTCTCTGCACGCGCGAAGCTCTTCCTACAGCCCGGCTGATTGCACATGAATGGCTTCTCGCCCGTATGAACTCTAATGTGGTTGATTAACTTGTACTTAGCCTTGAATGGCAGTCCATTTCGCATGCAGTCTTTCCAACAACAGACGAAACCAACAGGCGTGGCAGAAACAAGGTGAACGTCGGTGATATGTGTTACAAGGTCCTCTATCCGATAAAATCCTATCCCACACACTTGGTTCACCATTTTCTCGAGGTGGATCCACTCGCAAATTAACACGGGCGAACGTGCCGGTGGGCTTTTTGCATCGTAACCTGATGAGTGAGAATCTTGACTCTCTCGTGAGTTACGAACGGCGTTCAAACTGTGTTGCTCCGTTAGCGTGGGGTACACGAGCGAAGGAGGAAGGTCTGGCGTGTACCTCTGCACGCGAGGAATATAGCTTTCGTTGGGAGAATGCTCTTCTCTGATGTATAGTTTGCCAGGTGCGTCCATATTGAGCTTACATTGCTTGTGAAAGACTATGTTTATCCCATTGTGTGTGTTTGAGGGTATTCCAGGGATAACAATGTCGTGTTGTGCTCGACTAACAGCCGCGCTCGAGTTGTGATCGCGAGGCGCAGGGCTTGTTGAGTAAATTTGTAACGAATCATTATTATGCGGTGATCCGCGAGCTTCTTCCGAAGTGTTACTCTCCTCTTCGATGCGATCGCTGTTATTTTCGCCCTCTTCCGAGTTTTCTTCTTCTGGGCTAGGCGAGCCCGTTTTCCAATCTGCCCGATAGGCCGGGAACGAAAAATATTCACTCCGGCTAACCTCCTCTCGCGGACGTAGTTCGATCGAGCGCTCAGTGGTATCCATTCGCACCCTCATGTCTTGTTCACTCTCGCCTCCACTCTGCAAAGATTCTAGAGAGCTTGTTCTCTCCACCATGTGTCTGTCTGTGTGCACCTCGTAGTAATTTCGAAATACGACCCTAGACTCGGTTTCAGACAGACTGGTGTATTCAAACGCGGTGCTTTCGAGGGGCTCTGTTTTCACGACGATAGAGGGGCGAAAGTGGCTGAACTCTTCACTCCCCATCGTACTTATGTATATTTCCAGTTCGTCGGGGAGCGCGTAGGGGTAAAAAAAACTTAATAGTTATCAGAGAAAAGAGACGCGTCCCACTCCCTACCGTCGTAGCACTGTTCTGAATGTTGTCACTAGTGGCTGTTATGTTCCTTACGACACAGGCCGGTGTAGCCAGGCGCATGCGCTATGCCACCTCGCTGGGTGTCTCATTCATCACATCGTATTTTTGCCCCCACCGTCAGAGCGCCCCACAGAGCGCTTTCAATCTTTGCGGCTGTTTCAATAAAACTTGTATTCAAATAATTTTAGTCGCAGCAAGCCATCGGAGGAGAGGTTGACACCCATGAGAACATCTGGGTCACATGAAATTAGCGTTTCTTCTCATTGGTGCTATAAACTCCCCAACGCTCGTAATCTCAACGGAAAATTATGTCCGAGATCTGCGGAAGTTGGGTTCACGCCGCAAGCTCTTTTGTTTGGGGTGTCGAGGACCTTGGGCGGCGAATTTAAGATGTAATTTCAGTGGCGTTGTGGTTCAATTCGTTAATAAATGAACAGAAGAAGAAGCAAAGCACAGCACAGCGTTTTCCAATTTTATCATTTTTCTATGACCAGCTGAGTCCCTCGCTATGTGCTTTGCGTTTACTGAGTAGACCGCCCTCCAGGAATACCAGAAGTTTATCTCCCACAGAAAACACACGGAAATTATTTGAACGCCTAAGACGCAGGAGACGGGATTAAATATCGAGCATTAGGAAACTTCCACTGGCACTGTTAGTCCTGCTAAATGTTCCAACATGTTACAGAGACTCGAGCGAAAGTGTTATGATATTAATTGAGCAGTTTTGTGGACGGCTATGGACGAGAAATTCATTGCGTGACGGTGGTGCTCGACCTTGACAAAGAAAAGACGATAATAAGCATTGACTCCCAGGAGTGACGCAAAGTCAATAATCGAGGTTTGTGCCGTGTGCGTCATAGAGAATATCGCGCGTGCGAAGGCGGCTTTCAGCCACGCGTACACGCGATTCTCTCTTTTCAAGAAAAATTGGATGGTTTTCTCTAATATGTTCTTCTTTTACGAGAGACAAGTTGATTTGAAATCTAGGAAAAAGCAATGAAGAGTACAAGAAAAGGGTTTGTGCTGAGCGGAACAAACATGTTTTCAAATTCGCTGGTTTCACTTTCATTTCTCGGTGAAATTTTTTGAAACCACGACTTTGACATTCATTGCGTGTCATTGATCGCCGAGAAAGTGGAAATTTTGCCAGTAAGAGGAGTTACCACTTCAACGATCCACATTTTAAGCCTTGTTTTGAGTAAAAATAGCTGCGCCTCGTTCAAAGCTTTCCGCCCTCAAGCTTAAGAAGAAACAAACAAAAAAAAAAAACACGATGCATTTTTAATATATGAGCCTAATCCTTTCAGGAAAATAAACCAAAAGTTGATTTTGTTCGAGAAACTTTAAATCAGAGACTGCTTACCTCAAGAAAGGTCTTGTAAAGAAAGTAGTCAACCACGAGTAATGTTTAGAACGAGTGTTTCTTAGGATACAGTGGTTGTTTGAATGAATTTGTGGACGTTACCTCGGTAAATATAAGTCAGCAAGCTTTGCTGCGTGCTATAATTAAATTTAAAGATGTGAATAAACAGATTTCCATATAAAGAACTGCATGATCTCTTTGGCAGATGTATGAGATATCAGATAAAGAGTAGGGGAACTACAAGGATAGATTACTTCATACATTTTTGTTTCTTTTTTCATGATAACTCAAAGCCGAATCTTGTCAAAGGCTCGCGCTCTGGTAGAACCGTTTGGTTGCCTAACAATTAAGTTCATTGTAATTTAACGAAATTTCAAGAGGAGCAGGTTTGTCCCCTCTTATAGAGCCAGAAAGTGTCTGTGAATTCAGGACATAACTGGAGGAGAATCCTCTTCTGAATTGTAGAGATCACAGTTGCTGTCTGTCCATTTATCTGGACTAGCAACATGGAGGTCGAGATACATAACACTCAGGCCAATTGAACAAAATATAGATTTTATCAAATGAGGCGTACAGAGTACCCAATATTCATAACTTGAATATTTTCTCCGAATATAAACTCAGTGTTTGTTTAAGACGGTTTAAAACTTGAATGAAACAACTGAATTCACTTCAAGATTTAATTGTTTCCTCTTCTCTTCAGGCTCAAAGGCCGCTTGCGAACGGACTGACCAGCTAAGAAGGACAGCTGCTAAGAATCTTTATCAATATAAACGTTACTAAATCAAACTTAACTGAACAGAGATCATTCGGTGCATTTAGGCTATAAATCTATTTGAATCACAAATGGACAGTTTAATGCCGCTGTTCCAAATCTTCAATAGCGGTACACGAAATGTGACAGCCATGTCGTAGACTGCAATTATATACAGGAAAACGCGATGTTCGATATTTCGTACCTGACACAAATCTCTAAAACAAGACATTTTCAAGTCTGAGAGCTTTTTTTAATTGAGACACAATTGAAGATAACATACACTGGTTCTTTTTCCTTCTTTATCGCTAATCAAATGTACTTGCGTGTGAAGGACAAATACACCGAACTAATTACAGCTCACTGATGGATGCTCGATTTTCGCTTCGTTTGTTCGGAACCTATTAGGCACTTAAATGGTTTACACGGTAAGGTGAAGTTCACGAATGAGCACAAATACAGTGGTTTTTTTTTATGATTAATTGCTTGTCTAAAGCTACATTAGCGTCGAGTCAATATCTCCGTGGTGCTTTCAGCAGTGCTAACTGCCTTCACGCTAGGTGTTTACTGTAGATGCTCGTAAGCTTGAAGCCTTTCACAGATTAGTGCTCGTTTGGATTAAATAAGTCTATCGTACAGCTAAAGATGGATGAATAGCTTTGAAAGAAATTTAATGAACGTAAAATTAGTATTTATAGAAGTACATTTTGCAATGATACGGAAACTTTCATGAAGTAATGAAGGGTTGATTGTTCGAGTGCATGGTGTCGGTCGTAAGAAAAAGCTTGACACTTGTTAGGTATATATTGTAGTCACTTTACTTTCATTTTGAGTTTTACGCTAATAGTTTCATTGCCTTACCAATGACACGAATAACTACTTTGAGAGGAGGCTTCCAAACCTTACAATAAAGTTTGATACGTACTGAGTTGAACATTTTTGAAAAAATTTCACCCCCATTATAGCTCCAGTGAGCTTACGTCATGGCTGGTATTTATTCACGCTCAAAATCTGAGTGTTCGTAAAACTTTTCTCGGATTAAAGCTATCAAAAAATGCTTTCTATTCGTGATTTTCGTAGACTTCATAAACGCATAACAGTTTACGTCTTACCTTCTCTGTGTGTTGAAAACAAATTCTTAACTGATCACCTGATACTGAACACATGTACATAACCGTGACACTCCACGTTTCGACTGGCGGACACACGAAGCTTAATTACATGTTAAAGCTCAAAGCTTTTGTTTTATCTAGTAATAATCCAATTTCAACTTCCTATCAACCTTAATTACGAAGCTACCGTTTCTTCATACCTTTTTTCTTTCTTGTTTTTTTTTTAAGAAGGCAGTGACTGATATATCCCTTCTTTTCTTCTCCTCTCCTTCACATTCAGACACGTTTATTTTTTTCGCTCATATACTTAGAGCTCATAAGATTTTTCAGGTACACTGAATGCGTGCCTGGATAGCGTGTCGAGGAAATATATTCAATAGCATAAAACATGGCCTAGTTAATCCCTCTATTCTTTCGGCATTTTTAATAACCTTGAGTTTACAATTTGCGCAACACGCTTCCAATGTAGCACTTCACGCCGTTGTGATTTGCGCTATACTCTGCTTGAGGCAATGAACGATGACAGTGAAACAAATAGAACCGAAGTATAAATGATTACAATTTAATCTTTCTTTTTTATTTTTTCCCATTTGGATAAAGCTCTTTTTGTTAAAGTTTAAGAGCTGTACCTCCCTTGGTTTGGAGGACATTAAGAGTAGTTTTTTTGTGTTCATCCTTTTGGTAGCTTAATTCTAAAAATAGCCAAAGGAGCCCTTTGAAAGAGGCTTAGTCGAACAAAACCAGGCTATGTTCATGATTAGCTTGCAGTAGCAGATAGAAGGGAAACTACAGAATGCATGGAGGTCCTTGGTCTGGCACACCGCTGAAAGGTGGTGTATTCGAAATCAGTCTTATTTCAAATACTTGACGCAATAAGTGATCTAAACTAGCATTTGGCGATATCTATTCAAATAAGGGAACTCCATATCAAGCCAAGACTGTCCTTCATGAGCCCAGCTAGTTTGCAAAGGTAGCATGGCTCCTTATGCATGGTATAACGTAATCATGTGTAACATTACTTTCTCTTATATCTTTACAATGTGTTTTGATGAAAAAGAATTATGAACATACACACACACACACACACAAAAAAAACGAAAGTCAAATTTTTATCCATCGTTGCGCTCGGACTGGAAGTTCTACGGACGTTTCGTATTGCCATACACACATAGTTGTCCAAAGAAATAGTTATTCTGAAAAGATCGTGTGATATCCTCCTCACATGTGAGACGATCTCTGATGATAACTGCAACTGTTTTTCTCTCTCTCATTAGAAATAAACAACCTTCACGGCTTTATATATCTTAAAAATTAGAACACTCCCGTGATATAGTCTATTAAAGACCGTGATATGCAACTGAATACATCAGTTAAAGTACCCTTGGTTGAATACAGCGATCAGTAACAAGAGTTATCTAAGCATCTGCCGTGACTTTTTCAATAGCAACACAAACTAGACCACATTAAGCCGTATTAAATTAGCAATCCATTCATCCCCTGCGAAGATTTTTGCCAAAAATACCTCTTAAGATAACCACAAAACGCCATTATAGCGAGTGTATAATTTAGAGGCGTAACCCTTTAGCTTTAACCACCCATTAAGTTTAATGGTCCAAAGATCCGATGTTTTTTCCCTTTAGGAAGAATGAAAATTGTTTTACCATCAAATTATCTATAATTACCAAGAGAATATCATATGATATTCTCTTGTAAGTACTCCCACCATGATCTTTTAATTTCGTAGTTAGCGCTGTTAGGTCCAGCAATCCGGTGGTTTTTCAAGGAATAGCTGCGGAAAAAATTCCCAATTTCTCTCAAAAACTCTCCCCGTAATCAAAACTGCTTAAAGAGGGCTTAAAGAAGTAATACTAGTAAACCAAAGTTTCCAAAACTGAATTTACAAGATTAGTATACAGATATTGTACAGTGCTTTCTCGGCATAAACTGATACTGCATAAGTGGCGCTGAGTTTTGTATAAGCCTTAAAAAAATCTAAAAGCATAGGGTCTATCGAGACTTACGTTTCGTGACACTAAAAGCACAGGGTCTATCGAGACTTACGTTTCGTGACACTAAAAGCATAGGGTCTATCGAGACTTACGTTTCGTGACAGTGACTGGAGAGCGACGCTGAGAAAAACCCCATGAAGAAGAAATCTTTTTAGTTATCTTTATACAAAACTGTTCGGGAAGCAAGAATGAATTGTAATGATATATAGATAGATAGATAGATAGATAGATAGATAGATAGATAGATAGATAGATAGATAGGTGCGAATAACGAGAAAAATCCTTTCCAGTGAAAATAAGGGCAATCATCGCCGCTGGCTGCAAGTTTATTCCACACAACCTAGCGTATAAAAACTCGCAGTCAATTCTACACTACATTACTAAAAAGGCTATTTCACACACACACACACAAAAACAAAAAACTCGTACTAGGACAACCAAACCCTACGAAAACTGCCCAAAAATCTGTTGCTTGCGTATTCAAAAATTGTTTTTCATAATGCTTTTCAGTGATACTGTTTTCCACTTAGAGAGAACGAAGGTACAAGAGCTTTCCGTTAATGTAACTGAAAAACGTCTTAAGCGATCATCTATTAAGATAGGTGTGAATAAGACTCGGTAGATAACAGAACACAGAGTATATTCGAGAGCCGAATACTTGTATATAATCAAAACTAAAACCTCCCACAGCTAAAAAGTTTGTCTCACGACAATGAAATACCAGCTTAAAAAAATGAAATACTGGTGAAAATTTTTACGGTCTTCATAGCGTTGCTCAGACAACGGAAATTACAGAATAATGAACATTTCGCATTTATAGGTCAGCTTTATCATATCTGTCAGCTTAAAAACACATTGAAGACTTTCCAAAATTATCTCCTTGGGAACTCGGTAAAAGTGACGCTCAAAACTTCAACTGTTATCTTTTTTAACAAAGCGTTACCGAAACACCAGAACGCGGAGTTCACCTATGCAAGCAGGATACGACAAGGATAATCCAAACAGAAAAAGTTAATATCTTAACAGAACTTTAATATTTGAAAGTCACTATGTACAAAAAACATTTTACAGATAAAGGTCAAGGGTATAAATTTTATATTTATTGTTTTTAGGTATTTTCGAAAGAGGTAACTTGTATCTGAATAAAAGCAAAACAAACCAAAACCAGATCTACCAGAACAATAGAAGGTGAAAAAGGAAGAAAAATAAAAGGATAAAGAGAAAGCATTGCATTGAAGTGTGTACCACTCAGGGGCTGATTTTATCTATTAATACATAAAAGAGAGTGGCCCTCACGAAAAGTGCAATTTCACGCGAGTTTAACCATTTCCATCCGCATTAGGTGCCCGTCAGTCTTCCGGCACTTCTTGGTCAATTTTCAGAGAGCACTTCAATGATGCATGTTTGCATGGCTTTCATACATTAGTTTCTCCTTTCAAATGCCCGTAACTTGTTAGTTGAGGAGAGAACCCAAATTTGTTTTAACTTTAAAAGGAGAAAACAATTTCAAAACAAACCCACCACAACAGCGGGTTGTTCTAAGACTCCCGTAGCTTAAGACAAAACTATTTGGGAAAACACTACAACTGAATCGGTATCTTTGGAAAGAATAACGAGAAAAATCTGCTATCAAGGGCATGTATCTTTATGGTTTTGCAATGTTTTTTCATAGATTTATATACAGATGCGGATGGAAATGCGTGTATAGGGGAAGTTCAGACAAACCTTGTTGATTGTTTTTAATGAAAAATCTAAGAACATCTTAACAGCAAACGAAGACGGCAAAATTAACCTGTAGTATTGCTGACTGATCTCATCATCCTTAAAAAGATCAAATGCAAAAAGAAATTTCCTGTTCAGACACTTAATTTTATATCTGTTCCATGGTTGTGAAGAATGGACCTTTTTAAATGACATTTATCATACCATTGCTGAATCAAGGGTGCATTCTTAACAGCGCCATGGGAGGAGGATTCCGTGCTGTCAGCACAGCAATCAAAGTGTTACCTTTCAGTTGTTTTGTCGTCTCCTAACAATGAATTTGAGAACAAAAGCTTTTTATTTTCTTTGCGGAACAAAAGATGAAACTGAATCCTTTATCATGACCACAACAGTTGTACTTTTAACGACTCGATATTATCCCAGCAACGCAGGTACTCTATCCGGCAAATGCATACGCGCGTGTGCTCCTGTCAAATCCGTGCTTCAGAAGGATCGAGAAAGGGATATTGTGAAGCTAGTCAAAACTTTTCTGTTATCATTTGATTTAGCTTACTAAAACTCCATACAGCCAGAGAAACTTTGAAATTCTCTCTAGTTTTAATTCATCTGATGGCAGTTGGTTGATTAGGGTATTGAAATGTCAGAGGGGCTGTGATATGCTTGTTGCTGCTAGTTCTGTTTTTTTATTGACAGTGTGTGGCTTTTGACTAAACTGTTCTTCATTGGTTTCTGAGTAGTGCAGCTTTGAAAGCAGGCTCCTTGCTGGAGGGTAGGGTTTCCTTGGCTCCATAACTGCCCGTTAGGGCAAACTCAGTGAAAAGTTTGAATTCTACCTTAACAGAGGTAAATAGAAAATGTGACATGCTGTTAGAATAAGGTGCTGTTATGCACATTCCTTTTTATCGTATGAATGATGAACGCTGCTAATCTATCCTTACTCATAGTTGAATATAGAAAAACATTATTATTCATAGTGATATCCATATGCTTTCATTCAGCATGATTCGCCTCTGATTTAAACCTTTTCTTTAAGCTCAATCATGCCACACATCACCCCCATCATCAACACTGCCTAGCCGGCTTTGAGCAAATTTAATCCCAATCATTACAAATGAAAATCAGTCCAAAAGGCACAACAGTAGTTTCTGGATCCAAGGCAAGTCTCCCTCCCCTAAATGTTTCAGGCATTTTTAAAAGAGCACCTTATGACTATTATTAAAGCAGACAAACACACTTCAACCCCTATTTGCGGGCTTTCACTTTGTCTTTAAGAAATAAGCTATTCTGAAATTGCCCATCACTTCCAGCATTCTTTGGAATTCTTTCCAGGCATCAAAAACAGTACAACCTTTTTTCCAGACAACAACTAATCTTCCAAGGAAAGTAGAAGTAACAAGAAGAATGTGGTACTTTATCAAAATGGTGTGACATTCTTTTGCCAATAGAGTAAATACTAACAGTTATTTTCTATAATTTACCTTTTATTAACAAAGATTAGTATGAAATTATAAAATGGCAACCATTTTCATTCCATGTCAAATGTTCTTGGATTTTTTTGTAATAAAAAAACATAAATAATCACAAACTTTAAGAAAACTACACTAATGATAATTTCTGCCCAAAAAGACAGGGTTTTTTTTTTCTGTGTTCTATGAAGGTGGCAAAGGGTTTGTTAGTGATGCTTGAGCCCAAAATTAATATATGATGCATTAATTTTACAGAAAGGCAAGGTAAAGCAAGATTTTAAGTTTTCTCTTTTAAGTTGGTAAAGTGTGATGCATGAGTTTTTTCAAACTTTGAGCATGAAACTGGATCAGGACTCCCCTCCCCCTATGTGCTACCCTCCTCTTCTTTCACCAGTACAGTATAAATAAAGAAATACGTAAATTGAAGCTCCCCCTTGGGGGCTTTTCAGCCACAATGTAGACTAAGAGCTTAAAAATCACCACCAGCAGGAGGCAGACCAGTGGGCTAGTTACAGAGTGCAACCGAGGAGTTGAACTGGGGGCAACCGAGAACAAATCTAGTGAGTGGCAGGGTGGAGGCCTTGAACCCAGGACACCGGATTACAAGTCCAGCACCCTAACCACTTGGCCATGCTGCCTCCTTATAGACAGTCTCTCTATAATATAGTAAACAGGGAAAGTTTGATCTGTTAATTCCTACTGTACCCATAGGAGCGGTCCTAAGAGAAGGACCAGTGTTAGTGACTGATTAATTACATAAGTCCTTCACCACAGGAGTTTTTGTCAGAGTCAAGTTTGCCATAATGATGACAATGAGACTTTGGGGATGATAAAACAACACAATCAAATGTTACTCCTGGTCCCAAAACATTTATTGTGAAATAGGAATGTGAAAACTGACCTGAGCCTAGAATTTAGATTGGCAAATAGGGTGATTAAAATGAGGTTGAGTGACCTACACAATAATTCACCTTCAGTTGAACTTTTAAATCTATTATGAAACAAAAAAATACAGTCACCCAATACAAGTTTTTCTAGTCTGTTAATTTATTTTATTGACCCAGTATACTGAGCTGGTTTGTAAAAAGTTGCAAGTTGTCTCTCGTTTTCCTGGAATTTGATTCATTTGATTTCTTTTATAACAAACCTTGATATTTGATTAGTTATTGTGTTTAAGTAAAGCTGTCTCGCTGACCGGGAAAAAGATGCAACTTGGTGTATTAATTGGTGAGATCCATTTAAAATTGCACCAGTGAGAGCCAATCAGAGTGCAAGGATTACAAGTAATTTCAAAATGCATGTAATAAGGTTTGAAATCAACATGTATCAACCTTTCTGTAACATGATTTTACTTCACAAGTGATCTAACACCTTCCAACATACATTACTTTCAAGCAAAGAAATGTTCCTCATGGTTGGATGGAAAACACGCCTGAAAATTTCATTGAGGACCCTCTAAAATTTCCCTTGCTCCTACCTTGTGCTTCTTTTGCTAAGTTCTTAGCAGCACCCAGGCTAGTATCTAGGAAGCAAGGGTTCAAAACCTGTCAAAGCCTTACTGAATTTTTTAGTCTTCCTACAATTGCTTACATTGTAGTCCACTTGTGAGGAAATTTATTTTTCATTACAAGTTGTTTCACATATCATATACTTTGCCAACAGACTAAAAGTCTGAATTTACTGGTACTACACGTACACTTAGGGAGTTGCGTTTGTGCTGTGATTCAATTTAATCCAGAGTTCAAATTCTATTTTCCTCTGCCTTAATTTCTTTCCACACTTTATAATATACCCATAAAGACAAAAAAAATGATGAGAAAGGTTAATCCAAGAATAAAATTTAGCCACAGACAACATATGGGCATGTATGCGCATCCACCTCAGCCCCATAGCCAGCTAATAAACCCGTAGGCCTGGGCCTACAATATTTTTCCGCCCGCCTACTTTTATAATATGACTTTTGCAAAAACATGGTAAAAAAAATTATTGAACTTTCTTTGAGAACCGGCCTACAAAAAGTCGAAGAGCTGGCTACGCCCTGCATCTTTACGTCGATTCAACTTTTCAGTAGAACTGTATGACAATAATGTGAAAGAAATATATAGATCCTTTTGTAGAACGGTCTGATTATGAAACGAATTGATTAAAAATGACTGTAATCATTGGACAAAATTTATGCGATCTAATGCCCGAGGGCTAGAGCGCACGAAAACTACACAAGATGCAGTTATTTATCATTTGCTTGATACCACTCAATTTTTAGTGAACTTGTATGAGAATTTCTGCATCTATTGTGATTTTTTTATTAAGATTGTGGGATGCGTAAGCAAAATCGATGATCATAGATCTAAAAGCTTACGATGCTCAGAAGGCCATGTCACGCAATGCCTAAATACGGGTCATCACGGGAATTTGAAGGACTCACTTTTACAAACTAGCTGTTCTGAACCCAAGATAAGGGGAAAAATATGTCAAAGACAGATTTCGAACCTGAAAAAAGATTTCTCTTGACGTTCTACTGCAGTCTCGGTCTCCACGTCGGAGAATCGAACGACCTGTCCGTCATGTCAGAGTACTTTCAATATTGGTCTAAGGTTTGAGGGAGACTAAGGATTAGTTCTCAGTCCTTTTGCAGATGTAACGGCAGACGGCGGAAATTTTAAAATGTATGGGGCCAAAACGTTATTTATTTTGGTTTTGAGGTTATGGCTCTGAACGTTTAAGTCTCCTATGTGGAAATCCTTGCAAACCACGCAACGGAAAAATCAAAACGTGAACGATTCTTTCGTCGGCTTCAACCTAGAGTCTGCTTTGTGAAAAAATAAAACTATATCAACCTTTTTTTCCTATACTTCCGCCATGATTTTGTAGCGTTTTTTTCGTGATTTCTCTACGACGCTGAACGACAAATAATTTTAGTTTATGTGGAAGGTTTAGAACCGCCCTTAGAGCATGCGTAGGCTCCAATAAAAGGTTGTATTAATATTCATTAAGCTACTTTAAGCCGGACCACAAGTGAACGCTCCTTGAGGATTAATGGGAATATATAGGTTGCGATCGCTTTCTTGTAAACGTGCTCGCTTAACAGCAGCACATATACTAAAATTGGAACGATACAGAGAAGATTAGCATGGCCCCTGCGCAAGGATGACACGCAAATTCGTGAAGCGTTCCAAATTCTTTTAGATTCGTAATTTCCAGTATACTCTCTAAACACCTGATCTTAGCAAGAAGCTTCAAATTTGATCCGAACTCGGCCCAATTTCAAACGAAATTGAATTCCACATTCATAATGGCGTATTTCATTTCAATTTCCTTTCAGAAGTTTCTCCTGTTAGTGTCTACAGATGTTTAATAGGTGAATCGACTCTTGGAGGACGTCCCATTTGCTGATGTGCTCTGCTGATTATGGCGTAACAAGGACTCACGTAACTCACGGGAGGCTTTGGTTGTGATGAACACACTTTTCATAAGTGAAACGCTTTGGAACTTGCATTGTCTTAAGTTGAAAACCAAGAGACTCTCGATCTAGCATATAATCTTTCATGTGTAATTAAGATTTAGCATCACTTTGGCGGGGATTGTGGCGTGCATTTTGCGGGCCTTAATAGAGATTCTTGCGGGCTGAAATGTATTTTAGCATCTCGCATTCTCGCGTGATTGTTCAGACTGCATTGTTGCCATTTATTTTCTCTGCTTATTTTCTTGATATTCTCCAAGTGATGATAATAGTACTACAGTTGATGTTATTGGGCATGAATGTGCTTTAGAATTACTTTTGGGCCCTTCTGAGCGTCATTTTAACTCCCGCCTAGCGGCTCGGGATAAGGTGGCATGACTGAGTCGAGCCTAAAACAGATTTATTCCCATAAACATAAACTCAATTGCTTTAATCTATAGCGTGCTAGTTCCCACCTAATTAAAGTAGGGTATCCTGTACTTGCCGTACCTCCTTGAAACTTTTCTGCAGTGTAATATGTAGGTCATATAGCGGACTCGTTAATTATCTGCACCGTTGAAATTGTTTGGATGCTTGCGAGGCTCTCTTTCCTGTGTGTCAGTAAATTTTTCGTACTTCAGTTTCTTCACAAAAACTAAAATGATATCAGTAAGAAGTGTAGGGCTATCAAGTTCCTAGAATTGCATTACAACAATGGCCGGGCGGTGCCGTACCTTTGGTAGGGTATTGCCCGGCCATTGTTGCTCTCAGCTGCAGTGGCCAGATCGACAAAGAGTGGCTAATTAGTTTTACTCCACTGATATCAATAAAGAGACTATCAGCCTTTCAATACGGAACTCTTGTTATTTTGGTTAGCTGTAACTTTGAAATAGCCTTCAATTTCTTTCTGGGCCACCTGGGTTGACTTCTGTAACGGAGGGCTGGAAGGGGAGTCTTTCAAAGGTGGGTGCGAGATGAAAGGCCAATTGACAAACTTTTCCGTAGAAATTTTCTTCTCTCGCTAATTTATACTTTAAAGACACAAAAATGGTCGTTCTACATCGTTGGAGCAGTCATTGATGGAAAAAAGGAAACTTTTAAGTTTTCGAGGTCAGCGTGGCAGCACGTGGATCATGGAGTCGCCCAAATTATTCTTAACCTTAAAAGGAAGTGTACGTCACCTAAATATGACAGACATTAATTGCCAGCATATGTTGCCAGTCAAAGCTAAGTGGGTTTCACGCGTCCGCTCGTGATGAGGTGTGCTGTTCATAAGGCCCTTTAAGGACTTGAAAATCTGCCATCAAGGGTTGATTTCAATCACGGAGGTAATCCATTACGCTCTCAAGGTCCGTAAACACTTTGGGTTTTTTTCAACTGGTCAACAAATTTCCGAATGGTGAGTACGGGAACTAATAATTGTTGAACGTTTGTTATTGTGTCAAGTGTGATAGTTTTGCGACTTCATGAAATGAGCTTGCCATATATTTATGCATGGAATTAGAGTGTTTTTTACAGAAAAGGTATCTTAGATTTGCATGTGGTTTTTTGACCATAGTATGTAATGCTTGTACGACATAATAATGCCCGCTGTGTGTTCAGATGACTTGCCTCTCCCGGCGAAGAAGTCATTCATCCTTATTCATGGTAAAGCTCTGTAGATTTGATTTGGCCGATCTGCTTGAACTCCAGAATGTTTTCCGGGTTTCTTACGATTTAGAGGCTTGCAAACTATACATTTACGAAAAAAAAAGGAAGAAGGGCTTTCTACCAATTCTCACACATCGGCTTCTGGACTAAAACACGATATTTTAAAATTTGCTACCACCCAGTTGTAGTGAACTCGCGCGGGCCATCTTTATACTTTCTATTTTGTCTGGTTAGAATTTTATATGTAGGAAAAGGAAACAGTTATGCAGCTAATACAAACGGATTTATGCGTCATTTTGGTAGCATTTGTAGAGAAAGCATTTGAAAGTTCGTTTCCAAGGTGTATCATACCGCGAGATGCTTTCGTGACTGGCATGTCACACACTTGTCTGGTGTCACGCGTTCACGTTCCACTGCGGAAAAATTATAGGAATCTCTTAAAAATAGGACGTACCACCTGTACAAAGCGCAAATTTTGGTGGAGTGCGGTGGGTATAAAGACCTCTGAGTGGAAAAAAAATGCTTGAACTGCTACTACAAAAATACTGCAGCTTAATTTATACATTTAGTTATTTGCATGACTTACTTTACCAAATGGTATTTCTTGATAGTTAGAGTTGTATTGAGTTAGGAAGTCCTCTTATAGGAATCATGGGTCTCAAAAAACGTTTTTGACCACCAGATCATAGCCAGAAATGGAAAACGATGTTGAGTTATGGCATACAGTATTGAATGTTGAAGGGAATTGGGTTGTAGGCTTGCTCTCAACATAGTATTTATCATTATTTTACCGTGGAGGATGCATCCGCACAATAAATTCATCATGATATGAACCTAAGAAACTCAGGAAAGTAGAACACATTGATTCACCATCTAAATAAAAGCAATGTATTCTCAATTCTCAAAAACAGTTTTCAAACCATCAAGCAATTATATGGTGTACTTATTCAGCTGTGAAGGCGCGGTGGCCTCATGGTTGGTGTGCTCGACTCCAGTTCCAGAGATCCAGGTTTGAGATCCAGCCGGCGACATTGTGTTGTGTTCTTAGGCAAGACACTTTACTCTCACAGTGCCTCTCTTCACCCAGGTGTTTAAATGGGTACTGGCAAATTTAATGCTGGCGGGTAACCCTGCGATGGGCTGGTGTCCTATCCAGGGGGGAGAAGAAATACTCCTAGTCGCTTCATGCTACAGAAACTGGAGTTAAGCACCGGCCTGATGGGCCACTGACTCGTAAACAGACTTTACCTCACTTAGTCAGCTAATGATGAAGATATCATGCAGTAAAATTTTTATTCAATGTAGCTATGAATTAGAACTCTCAATCGATGGTACTGTGGGAATGGTGGATAAGTATATAATGGTGTATATAATGCCAACCAGCTGGGTCAGTTCTTTAACCCTTAGCACCTTAGCAAAAGTTTTCATATTTTTTTTTTCTACTGACAAAGAGAGTTTGTTTGAGCACTTCTTGAAATGGCAATCATTTTTTTTTCTTATGACCCTTGTTTTTGATTCAAGGGTAATAAGGTGAGGATCAATTAGAAGCCAGTCACTCACAGAGATTAAAGGGTTAAATAATTATTCTTGTAACTAGTAGTTTCAATGTGAAAGTGTGTGCTGGCTTCACAGCTTGAAGGAAGCTTGAACTCACATTGTTTATCATGTCCTTGATTTCTAGCAGAGCGGGAAGGCCGTACACAGCTATTGCTCGAAATCGATCAATATTTCCAGGTGCATTTCATGTGATGTCATCACAACCACCCCAGACATAAAAAACGCAATCAACTACACGTGTCTCCAATCTTATATCCAAGAAATTTTGGCTTTTTCTTGCTATTGTAAAGAATAGGCTGATGCCTTGCCAAGGCTCGCCAGCAATTATAGTGGTCAAAACAGTAATTTATGATTATGATGGTGAAATTGAAGATTACCATGGTGATGAAGTTGATCATCCTTACCATCATGTACATAATGATAATCAACAACATTGGACCTCCTTGGGGTTCCCTTATCACAAAAACTAGTTGGATTCAAGTCAAAAAGTTCTAGTTAACAAAAGGGCACTGTACCATTGCTCATATACATTTTTTCAAGACTATCTTTTAAATATTTATAAGAGAAACTGGAAAACATTTCTGTCTAGCAACAAAAGTGTCGAAATTAGAGGTCTCATTTATTTTTATTTAAGTAGCTCCAAGTTTTGTAATGAGGGAAAAATCAGATGTCAGTGAAGTCATGTAGCTAATTATGAAGGTTGTGTAAAGAGGAGAAGGGTAGGAATGGAAATCAGCAGATGATTGCAAAAGCAGCCCCTGCCTATATTTAAACCCTTCTCACCATAATATCTGTGGGGTGGAAGTCTGTGGTTCAACCAGCCAGAGCCTTTTTTTATGCACGAACCCTTGTATCATTGCGGTAAATGGTTTGAACCCGGGGGTAACATGTGAAGGTGTAGTCTGATCGTCCGGGTGAGTGTAGTCC